CGTCCACGCGGACAGCGGTGGATCAGTGCTCCACGCTGGGATGTGAGGTGCTGCGCGTGTCAGGATAACAAGCTCATGGAAACAGCCAGCGGAGGATGGGACACGGACCCCAGGAAACAGTTCCCGAGCTTCTCAGTGTTCAGATGTAGACACACCACCGAGATTTACGGGTGATTTCGCTTTTTACATTGCCTGTGCTGGCCTTCACCACTGCTGGCTGAGAGCGTCTTTGAATCTTACTTTAGGGGAATTCCCAAACTGACAGTCCAAAAGCCATTTCGATACAGACCGGATTCCGGAGTCCTCTGGAAGACGGAGGTACTCCACTTGCCGTCTCTGTCCCCCTGTGAAATGCGGACTGCGAATTCATACATGGTGTCGGGGAGCAGGCCCTCGATCAGCACGCGCCGGTTGGAGCCCTGCCTGTAATCCCAGCGGGCCAGTTCCCCCTTTTCTCGGTAGCGCACCGTGTACTGCCTGTAAGGAGACACAGGCAGCATGTACGGGGCCGGTTCTCTGCCGCGGAGCACGGACTCCTGCCCGGAAACGATGACTTTGGGAGGGAAACAGGGAAATCAGAGCACAAAGACCTACACTTCGGGCTATGTTTGGAGCTCAAATGTGAGGAGATTCTAAAGCAGACAGGGAAGAAGACTTTTCAAGACTGGAAACTCATACTGCTCGAAAGCTGAAGCCGAGATTCAGAAGGCGGGGGAGGAGGAGGTGGCTTTGATGAGGCACGTGCCTTATCAGGGGTGTGCGCGTGTTTGTGCTGTGTGCAGTGTGGAGAGGGCAAGGGAATAATCAGAACTGGCCCAAGGTAGCTTGGCTTTCCAGAAAAGAAAGACAAAAAGACTCGCTTCATGCCAAATCAGGCATGTTTCCTCGAGGTGAAGGGGGAGGCAGCATGGGGTCTTGAGTAATCTTATTACCATGAGAAGGAGCAACTGTGTGTGACAGGCAGAGCAGGATGGAGGAGCTGATAAAAAGACCTCGAGTGTGAGATTGTCATGGAGAGAGACGTGTGAGCGAGCATTCCCCAGTCCCAGACCGAAGACATGCTCTGCCCCCTTTGTTCTCATCATGATGCCGGACATGAGCCCCCAGGAGCCAAGAGCCGTTCATGTTGAGGAGGCCAAGGGCAGGGGGAGCGTCACTATGAACCCTGCGAGAGTCCCATGAAGCTCAGAGGTCTTTCCAGGAAGCAGGTGTCTTATTTCACTAACAGGAAGAGGCAGAAACTCGGCTAATAGTGCCACGTCATGACTTGAGAAAAAATACATTCACCTGCTATGCACAGTGAGCTACACGTGAGGCAGGGTGGTGCTTGGGGACGTCTAAAGAGGAACTGCGGGGCGCGAGGGTTAGACGATGCCCACCACTCTGATGAGGGCCTTCCTGCTGCCACTCTTCAGGAGGGCCAGGCTCTTCCTCAAATGGGCCCATAGCTTCTGAACATGAATAGGTCATTAATGCCCGGCTGGTGTGGCTCAGTGGTTGAGTATCGACCTATGAACCAGGTCACAGTTCAATTCCCAGCCAGGACACATGCCCTGGTTGCGGACTCAATCCCCAGTAGGTGTGTAGGAGGCAGCCAATCAATGATTCTCTCTCATCAATGATGTTTGTATTTCTCTCTCCTTCTCCCTTCCTCTCTGAAATCAATAAAAACATACATTTTATAAAACAGAGAATTAGTAAGGCACGGCAAAGCAAATGCAGGCAAAGAGAAATAGGATCTAGGACAGTGATGGCGAACCTTTTGAGCTCGGCGTGTCAGCACTTTGAAAAACCTTAACTCTGCTGCCGTATCACACAGAAATTTTTTGATATTTGCAACCATAGTAAAACAAAGACTTATATTTTTGATATTTATTTTATATATTTAAATGCCATTTAACAGAGAAAAATCAGCCAAAAAAATGAGTTCGTGTCTCACCTCTGACACGTGTGTCATAGGTTCGCCATCACTGGCCTAGAACATTTGCAGACACAGGATAAGGCGGAGAAGGTGAGATGTGAGGTCCCGCCCAGTGCATCACACGCGAGGCCCAGGTAGCATGTGGCCTGTGGGGAATGTGTGATCACGCTCAGGATTAGCTACATGGCCACAGGACAGTCTATTGTCCGGTCACAAAAAACACCAGCATGCCAATATGTCAGAAAATAAAATCCCTCAAGTAAATACATGTCTGTGGGGCCACAAAACCCACATCTCTCATGCATAAGAGAAAGACAAGTCAGGAAAGTACCTGGACGCAACAACTTTCTTCTGCTTCTCCACAACAGGGTCCACCCAGGCTACAAGCACAGACTGGGATGACATGACCCGGACACTGATGTCCTCAGGGACGTCCAGCTCCTCCTCCTCTGAAATGACAGTGGGCGCGTGGGAAGGCTGTCCCGACAGTAGGCTCCATCCTGGTTCCTCTAGCCCCCCGAGTTTATGTTCACCCGGGGCAGTAAATCGCTTATGCATGATGTAGATGAAATGAAGTGAATAGGAAGTTAAGCAATGACTTGATTGGTCACTGCAGAGAAACCTGACTCTGCACTGCACTGCTTCTCAAGTGCAGTCTAAGATACGGGCAGTTCACTTGCAAACTGCCCAGCCCAATGGACATAAAGCACAAAGGGGAGGCTGTGAATGGTCAGAGATACTCCCAGTAACTGAGGGTTTCCTCAGCATACACTGTAAGTTTCCGGGAAATAATACAGTTCTTACAGGAAGCGAAACTTTAAGGGCAGAAAAGCTCGGGGAGGCATTGCCTCGGCGATCGTGGCGTGAGGCGAAAATCCTGGTGCAAACAACAGCGTGAGCCTCACGAGGCTCCGGGTCCTCGCATTTCAGAGCGTGGGGTGCCCAGGCAAACGAACAGGTCGATTCCGGTACAAAAGGGAATTCGGCCTGCGATTTCCGATAGAACACATCACAGACACAAGGCTCACAGTTCTGTTCCATCACTAACCAACTGAAACCAAAAGATGTCTTCAATTTTGCTTTTGAGTCTCTTAGGTGTTGGGGGTTTTTTTTGTTCTGTTTTTTGTGGCTTTAACTACAAGTAGGAAAAGGTGGAAATATTTAGCCTGTTAGGAAACTGATATAGTGACTTCTTGGAGAGCAGCAACTAATGACTAATAAAGGTGAAACATCCTGTATGTGGGCCTTCTGTATACAATGTAAAAATTATAATAATATAACATGTTATATAATAACATTGTGTAATATAAAATTATAATTAACAAATAAGTTGTAAGTTCATGAAAATAATTATGCTATAGGTTACCTCTTTAAGTAAGACCCAGGAACCAGAAAAGGTATATGTAATTTGTTAACACAAGAGTACTATAAAAAAAAATCTGTGGACAAATGTGGAAAAAATATCTTAAATCAGGCTAGCACAGTGATGGCGAACCTTTTGAGCTCGGCGTGTCAGCATTTTGAAAAACCCTAACTTAACTCTGGTGCCGTGTCACATGTAGAAATTTTTTGATATTTGCAACCATAGTAAAACAAAGACATACATTTTTGATACTTATTTTATATATTTAAATGCCATTTAAAAAAGAAAAATCAACCAAAAAAATGAGTTTGCGTGTCACCTCTGACACGTGTGTCATAGGTTCGCCATCACTGGGCTAGCAGCACACCATCCCTACATCTTTTCTCACTGCATTGTTACTCAAGTTTAGTGGAAATAAAGTTTCACTGCATTCTTGCACACTACCCCATTCACTCCTCTCTCTCTGTTCACAGTCTATCACCAGGGGATGTTTCCATGTGGATCACACTGTGCCCTTAAATGGAATAAATGTTTGGCTGCTCTTATGGCAAATCTAAGGCACCGTAAAGACATTCAGTATACACAGAGAAATATATTTCATCACAAGAATACCTTACCCTCTGAGTAGAAAAGAAACACACTTGCATCTAAAATGTGGCCAAGCCCGCCCTGCTGGGTCCTTTCCCCTCAAGAAAACCCATGGAGTTCGTCACCCGGCCAGCATCGTTTGGAAACAACGCTGCATTCACACTGGACCACGGCTGACCGGATGCGTCCTTAGAAACATACCTGAAATCTTCCGTTTCGTGAGGGCAGCCCTGTAGACCGGCTGACTCTGGCCCCGGGAGTTCAGGGACCGCAGGGAGACCACGTACACCGACTCAGAGGCTGTGGATGAGGCACAGGCAGTGAGGCTCTGCGGCTGGTTTCCCCGACACATCTCTGTCCTCGGCCCCTCCCCCTCTTCTTCCGGACAATTAAATCTGAGCCCAAGCATGGTAGGAACTAAACTCAAGAAGAACACTATTACGGTAGGATACGTGGAGGTGATTTTCACCTGTAATTCCTGGAAAATGGGTTTCTATCTCATCAGCATCAAAGAAAGATGAATAAGGTTTTAAAAAGGATGGGATTGCATAATGCCAACTTAAGTCCCCCAATTTCCTTTTCTTTCTAAATAGAGACAAGAGTGACTCTGTCTTCAGCTGTCATCAAACAGAAGGGAGAGGAGACAAGAGCAGCCACAGTGCCAGGTCAATTCCCTGGTGGAGGACTCACTTCAGATCCCTTAATTTCTTGGTGCCACTGCCAGTGGAACCCACCAAGTCATTAAAGGAAGAATGCTGCCATTTATCTCCCGATCCCGGGACGTGCATAAATGGCTAAGCCTGGAGGTGGCCCAGCATGGATCAAGAACCACCAGAGTCCGGCCAGAGTGGCTTGGTTGTCTGAGTCTCACACTGTGCACCCAGAGGCTGCCGGTTCAGTTCCCGGTCAGCACATGCCTGGGTTGCAGGGTCAATCGCCAGTCAGAAGGTAGTCGATTGACGTGTCTCTCACATTGATGTCCAGGCCTGTCAACCACCAAGGCCAGCAAAGGCCGGGCCTCGACCCAGCCTGGAATGATGCACAGAACCTCTCCTGGCCACAGCGACTGTCCCCTCAGCGTCCACGCCCAGTGCTTCCTCCCCCCAGTGAGGGTTTGCGAAGAGGGAGGACAGCAGGCCAGTCTGCAGGCTTCATCAGCGGCCCCACATTTCATCTCACGGGACCCAGGCCCAGGGTCCTAGGATCTAAGGCAGAGCTTAAGGAGCAAATGGGTGAAAGCAGAGCCAAGAGGCAGAAAACATGAGCGCCCATCCCGTGTCCAGGAAAATGGCCCAACTCCAGGGCTTGTGCTGCAGGGTCAGGAAGCAGCTGCCAGGCGAGCACGCAAAGGCGGCCGTGTCCTGCGCTGACTGAAGGTTAAAGGGATGGAGGCACAGGCGGAAGACAGGACAGAGAACATGATGCTGGATAACTGTAATACCTGGAAAATAAACATTACAACTGCACTATGATGTCGGTCATGAACGAGCTAAGTATGAAATGATGAAAAAGATCATCAAATACTGAGCACCAGTTACCACTTAACTCACCCAGCTTTTTGATCTCATGCGTTCGCTCATCTCGGGCCAGTGGAACGTAATTCATCTTCCGGCCACTTTCCCCGTAGCCCAAAAGGAAACCCCGGGATCTGCGTGGACTCTTGGCTCCAGACAGGCGTGGCGCCTTCCACGCAACGGACAGCCGGTTGTCTGAGGATCGGACTCGGACACGCAAGGGCTTGTTTGGCACTTCCTTTTCTTAAAGAAGACATGACACAGAAACTGTTAAACAGTATCCCCTCCGAGTCCACCAGCGGGTACGTGAAGTCTGCCCAGAGACTAAGCCATGACAATTAAGCAGCTGGATTTAAAACATCCATTTTGGTAACCAATTCCAGAAAGAACATTGTCCCCCCAAGGGCACCGACCCTGGGTGCACATGTTCCTCCCATATTTCAGGCCGAGAGGCCCGAGGACTTCAAATGAAAACATACTATACGTGAGACTGCCATCTAGAAGTCTTGGGTGTTCTACAAATGCTCCTTTTCATCTACTTCCCTTTGCCCCTTTAAGTCCAAAACTATATATTCTCTGGTGAGAGCTAGAGGTCAGCATAACAATACAGTGAGCACACAGTAGGTGCTGCTATGACTGCCCTGCAGGAAGCCTCGCTGTAAAGCTGGGAAGGGCTTTCCTGGCCTTTGCGGTGAGTCACTCCGGCCCACATAGTGACTGGCTTCTGGTTTTGATTTTAATTCTTCTGACGTGTCTAATCTGCCCTCCAGACAAACCTGGGCCTGCCCCGCCGTTGCTGCCATCTCAATCTCTGCTGTTCCTTCTTCTAAATTTTGAGAAATCCTCTTGCTAAAATGATCAAGCTCAAGAAACACTCATTGTTAGCCTTCTCAAAGCAACACACTCTGGGGGCCAGTACTTGGTGTTTAAAGCTTTGCTTTTACATCGATGAAGAATTGATAAGTTTGGGAATAAGGGCCACAGACCACGTGACGACTACATTGTCCATTGCTGACAGTGGACCACCTTCTAGTCATATTTGGGGATCCCATTAGGCCACTGAGAGAATCTCTAGTTATGTAAGCCAGGGACTTCCCCGGCATTCTTCCTCCACCATAAACATTAACGCCATCATCAATGCTGCCTAATTCTATTAGACTGGAAAATTCCCAGGAGGTTATGGTGTAAGAACACAACCTAATGCCACGGGTCAGTATGAATTCCAGTGTCGCAGTAAGTATATCAGTAGCCATGGGAGATGGCTCTTCTGAAAGCGGTACACCCTGTTCCCTGTTCCGCATCCGCCAAAGGGAATACCCCTTTGGACATTAGCTGGGGTTACCTGGCCAGTCCCTGGGCTTCCGGTTCCTGAAGCTCCTCAGAGCGTGCCATGGAGTGGTCCTGCAAACATTTCCCCACTCTACCAAGTAGGACTTAGTAAGGTTTTGGTTTTGAGTCTAATCGTGTAGCCAATGGGCCACCTGTATACAACTCTCCTCGCACCTGGGAAGGTAGCCACTTTCACTGGGGTCTGCGAACTGATCTCAGTTTTGTGCTCAGGTTCCAAGGTGAGCTCTCATCTCCAAGGGGTGACTTCTATAAAAATCAAGGACCACCAGGTGATCCTGGGAATGACAGATGTGCTCATTCACATAGTTCAAAAGGAAAAGTCCCTTCCCCATCCTGGGCTATTCATCCCATCAGACCTCTTTCATGGGTGTCACAGCACCTGGTGACCTCTTTCAGGCAGACGTGTCCAGACAGCTCGAATTCACTGGTGCTGAGATTTTTTGGGTTTGTCTAAGCCAAAGGGAGTAGCCTCGCAGAGGCGCCTGAAATTTTCTGATAAATCCCAGTGAGTCCTTTATCTTGAAAACAAAAGTCAGAACTGCCGGGAGCAATCCCGTTCTCCCGAGTGGACTGCCGAGTGGATGTGACGTGACAGGACGCGGGACCTCCACCAAGCTCACCACATCACCAGGTGGACCTCACTCAGGACCGGTTGATACCGTTAATTACAGCCGTCCACTCGGAGGGTCAGCAGAGGAAACAAGGGCCGTCGAGATTAGAGTAGACTTCAGAGAGCCAGACGCCCCTGTCTCCTAGGTTGTGTTGTCAGCTACACAAACTGGCAAATACTCTTAAATTGTACAGAATCAAAACCTGTTGATTGAAAAAAATCCCAAATTCAACACGATGCTTTGTCCATTTAGGTTTACAATTCGGTGCCCGTTAAACTTGGCAGCTTCTGGTTTGGGCTTCCACAGGCTCTCCAGTCGGGTCCCAGTCTGTGGCCCCCTGACTGCGGGACTGTGAGGCTCCCACTGACCCTCATTTCCTCCCTTGGAGCGTGGTGTGTGGCTATTGTGTTTGTAATTTAAGTCAGGTAAAGCATATGTGAAGCACACATTCATTGCTAATTGTGGTTGCGATTGTGATAGAAAACAAAGCCCCTCATCAGATTCACTGGATGTATGGGCAGTCCCCCCAGAATGGAACCCAGGGTCCCATTACAGATTCTACCACAATGCCTTGCACACAAGGGACACCAAATACATGTATTTCAAAGAACCAAGAATGAGAAAGAGATACTTAGTGTCACAGGTTTTTACAGTAAAACCTCAAATGTGAGCTTGTCTGTACCCAGACAGCTTCTGTGCACCGGACACCGAGAGCGCCATGCATTGTCTTCATCAACACCCCGCAGTGACCAGTCGCTCTAGCGAGTCCCTTCCTACTCTTTGTTGGCGTGAAGATGAGTACTCAGCCACCTCCTGGGCCCGGTCTCAGCTGACAGGGCCTTCTCGTTCTCCAGCAGAGTGTGAGGTGTCATGCGGTCCACAGCTTTGAAGAGTAAGCGGTTTGACCCTCTCACGCCCTTGACACCCCACTGCACTGACCTCCAAGCTGTGCAAAGAGGGCCTGGATCCTCACCCCCCGAAAAGGCAGGCCCACGTGCTCACTGGCCTTCCTCAGCCATCCTCAGCCCCAGGCAGCGTCCCCACCATCCCCAACATCAAGGCTCAGGGACACTGGCTGTAGGGCAGGGGGCGCCACCCCTGAGGCTGAGCGGTGGTCCTCACACTGCAGCGTGCATCGCGATCACCTGGACAGTTTGAAACCACGCCCTAGGCTCCCACCTGTCAGGCCGGCGCCATTCCAGAGCTTGGTGCACTCTGCATGAATTACAGAGGAGGAAGAGGGGAGTGGGTGGGGGTGTGAGTGGGAGAGGGTGAAGGTGATCGGCCACTGCCAGAACACAGGACCTGTGCTTTGCTGTCCCCACTCAGAGTCTGAATTCCCTGCCCCAGACACGAGCCCAGGCCCAGAGCTGACTGACAGCTGCCAAGGTGGGTTAGCAAATGCCTCCCACCTCTGTCTGCCAAGGGCTCCTTCCCGGGCGAGTTCTTGAGACCTTAGTGACTCTCAGAAGTCCCTCCCACGCCCAGCACCGGCAATGCTCACGCTGACGTCTCTCTTGAGCACGTTTTCCTCTCCAAGAGGCCACCCTGACACTTTCACTGTTTACTGAGTGCTTGTGTGACATTTGGGCGGGCCAGCTATCTACCAGTAAGGAAGGGGATCTCATTTCTTTACTTTGGAATAGTGTCCATCAGAATGTCACCCACCTTCATAACTTATTGGATCCCTACCAGCCATCAGGCAGGTGACAAACACCTTCACAGTAACATCATGACACCCCATTTATAGAGAAGGTGAGGCTAAGGGAGAACTTGGGAGCCGGACAGGTGGGCCCTCAGCTGGCGTGGAGCCGGGTGTGCAGTCCCCCCGCGCCGCTCCTGTGCGGAGCCCCCGCCATGCTGTGGCATGGCATGTGCCTGCTCTGGAAGGAGGTCCCCCGGTGCCTCACGGATGTCTCTGGCAAAGGATCTGGTCTGTGGCACCTGGAGTCACCATCTAAGACTTCCGTGCCATGGGTCCCCACTTACAGGAAACGTCGGCTAAGTTCCCCGGGGCCTAGAGCTCCTCAGGGGAGGTCGTTCACGTGTCCCCTCAGATCCAACATTGCTCGTCCCCTGACAGGTGGTCATGCTGCAGGGTCCCAAGGCAAGACCATCTGAGGAAGAGCCTGGTCAGCCACGCGATGGCCCGGCTGCCTGACTGTGGGAGCAAGAGCAGAGCGGACTTACTGGACGCCTTTGACAATCCAGCATGGGCTCACTGTAGCCATGACAGTTACGTCAAGTGCCGTGTCAAGAGATAATGAGATGGGGCCCTGAGGAAGGGCCCAGAACACCAAAACTGCCGGTCTGGACACTTGGATCAGGACTCCATCTGGACACCAATGTGAGGGAACCCCCACCCCCACTCAGAGCTCAGCCATCCAGCGCTTGAGTGTGGCTGTACCAGGGTCACAGTAAAGCCCTGCCGGACTCCCACTGCATGGGCCGGGCTGCCACTGCCACTATACCCGCTTCCGCACCCGCAGACAGAGCCCGTGGCCAGGACTTCGCGCCAGCAGACCTGACTGTGTAAACAGGTCATCTTCACAGCCCAGCCAGCCTTGAGGAATTCCAGTCCTCAGCTGCAGTCAGCACCATTCCTCACCAGCCCCTCCAAGTGACCAGAGGCAAAAATTAGGACCTCAGATGAAGGAGAGCACTGCTCAGTGGCAGACAACCTGGCCTGCCCGGGACCACCCCAGCATCAGCAGCTGGCCAACAGGTGACCCTGACCTCTGACCTGGCCCTGCCTCGCTCAGCACCCGGCTCTGGCCCACACACACTTGCCCTGTGGGGCACACTCGGAAGAAGAAGCCTCCGATGCCTTTCCACTAAACATGTATTTAGCGTGTGCCATGAGCTTGTCCCAGGCCCGGGAGGCGGAGAAGAGTGAATCTAAGAGACCGGCCCTTGAGGGGCTCACCATCCAGGCCATGGACCGGAAACTGAGTTTTGCTCTGCAAATTGCATACTTAATAAAACTTAAAATTGCACAAGGAAATAATGCCACAGACAATATTCATTCCCCATTGGCCAAAGGCCTTAATTAAACTCTGTGAACAAAGAGGGCACTGTCTGATTGGTAATTGGGCACGCAGCAGCCCCATGACCTGGCCCCAGGATTAGCTGAGGATGCCCTGACGCAGTGGTAGTAAAACTGCATATGAGCCCAATGAGGCTACAACTTTCCAGGGAAGAGCTGGGAGAAGACAGGCGAACTGGCAGCCCGTGGCCTTGCCTGTGGGAAGCGGAGTGGGGCCTCCGGGCCCCGCCCCTCATTGCCTGTCTCTGTGCGTAACAGATTAGCTCAGATCCAGGGACAGGAAAAAGCTAACGCAACTTCAGAAGAGAAGCCTGCAGGGAGGTCAATAATGGGATCCAATATGTGACAGGACCTGGACACCTCTTCCCTGGGGACAGAACAAAGCTGTGTGCGTCTGTGCGAATGTTTACCTGTGTGTCTTCAGGGTAGACAACTTCTGAAGTCCAATGGGACCTCCTGGCCCATTTACACATGGCCGCGGTGTGCTACCTTCTGACTGTCTCACTACCACTGTCTTCCAAGCTCTGCTCCTTGCCTTCTGCTCATCTCTCCTAACCCTTGCCCTCTCATGTACCCTCTCTCCTTCAACTCACTCCAGCGTGCCTCCTAAAGCCATGTCTGCCTCCGACTTCTCTCTTCCAACGTTCATTCCCTCCTCTGTGCCTGCTACAGGCATCCCCAGCACAACGCCCCACGCTCACCTTCCGTCCGGCATATTTGAAGAACGTATCCCCTCTCCTCCACAGCCCGTTTCCTTTTCTAATGTTTTATTCCGCCCTCCTTTTCCATGTAAAAAGACTGTGAATGCCGCCCACACCTGCCAAATCTTAACTGAGAAGCAGATTAGAGTCATCAGTTTGAATATACTCACCTTCCTCTCAATAGCGTAAGACTGATGTATTTAAATACATGGTTTATGAAAATATGACATACTCCTCTCCCTGTGGCCTCAAGACAGTAGCCAACATACTTGAAAATAACTGCATGCATTTTTGCATCATTAATTAAATATATTCAAAGAATACACAGAAATGTTAACACTTCTCTCAACAAGTAAAACCACATGATTAGACAACATCAACATCCAAATGATAAAACATACACATACAAATATGGAGCAGAGATGGGAGGCAGGTCATCTAACGTGTCACCAACTAGCCCATGGTTTTACCAAAAGAAATACTTGATGCAGCATATTAGCCAATAAAAGCCACTGTTTGGTGGGTCCCATCTGCTCATGCTGTCCACAGGGCACAGAGCTGCAAACATCCCCATCAGGCCAGGACTGCCATCTCCGCCACCACATTTGCCTGTTAATAGCACAGGGTACCCCCAGATGTAGACACAGACACCTCCCCACACCAGGACACGAGGGAACAGTGAGAAATGAGCGACACTGGCTGCGGGCTGGTCCCCTGGGTGCACGGCAGATCGACCAACATTGTGCGGCGTGTGCGTTAGTTCAGCGATGGGGACTGGATGAAGGTTTGTGAGCACATGTGTGTGACAGAAGCACAACCCTCTTGCGAGACGGTGCTTCAGTGAAGACATGAACCAGATGAGCAAATAGTACCTGTGACGGTTTCATTAAATGGTCCTGGACCCTTAATGGGGGAACCATCAATCTGGATCCATTCACCTCCTAAATTAGGAAAATGCAACCTGATAGTTAGAAATGAGAACCAGAGGAGCTTCCACATTTAGAGCATCCCTAACTGTTCAGAGCATCCCTAACGTTGCTCTAAGTGGCCTTTTCAACAGCTTGAAAGGGATCGCCTCGGGCCATTTTAGTGACTCAGCACCTAAGCTCTATGGACAACACATCCTTTTAGTCTTTTGCACATGGCTTATTCTAGTGAGCACTCAAAAGTTTAGGACAAAACGCTAACAACCTACATTAACTGACTATGAAAGGAGGGATAAATCTCTCCTAGTTTTTAGTCTGTCAGCTTATTCTACAAATCTAAAAATTCAGGAACTCTTTAATAATTCTAAACTTGTATTGACATGAAGAAGCAGGGAGGGACTTTTCTCCCAATCTTAGTAACAGAAACACAGCCTCCAGTTCTAGGTGAGACTTACCAGGCAGGCTTTCCGCTCTGTACACGGGCCGGCTCACTCCACTGTGGTTTTCTGCAGTAACCAGCACAAAGTACACTACCCCCGGCTCTGAAACACACGGTTCGTATCAAGCCCCGTTTCAAATCTCCAAGAATGACAGTTTGATTCGCTGTCTTCCTTATACCAGTTACAACCAAATATAAATATTTGAATTTAGTGACAAATCTACCTATAGCTTTCTCTGTTTATTTTTAATCAAAATACTAACATTCCTCCCATGCAACTGAAGTACACCTGGCCAGAGAACACAACATTTATTTATTACAAAGTACATGGCATGTGAAATAAGCCTGGATTTGTGAGCCGTCAACAAGAAAGCTTTTTAGCCTTTTAATGTGACATCAATGTAGGAAGTAGGAACACACTGTCCACTAAATCCATGTTTCAACCTACCGTGTCCGTAACTACAAACAGTATTTCCTCATGAAAGCCCCAAATGGAAAGCTTCAAAAAATAATTAGGAAATGTCAACATAACTTATAAAATTTAGCACCTGGGGAATCTTCACTGCAGTCAAGAAAGCTGCATGAACTATGTTCCTTCTCATAACTAAACAGTCCCCTTGCCCTAGCTCAGTGGTCAGCAAACTGCGGCTTGCGAGCCACATGCAGCTCTTTGGGCCCTTGAGTGTGGCTCTTCCACAAAATACTGACTTCTGCGCATGGGCCACGAAGTTTCAGTCGCACTGTACATGTGCGCCCGCACGTGGTATTTTGTGGAAGAGCCACACTCAAGGGGCCAAAGAGCCGCATGTGGCTTGCGAGCTGCAGCTTGCCAACCACTGCCCTAGCTGGTTTGGCTCAGTGGATAGAGCGTTGGCCTGCAGACTGTAGGGTCCCAGGTTCAATTCTGGTCAAGGGCACATGCCTGGGTTGCCGGCTCAATCTCCAGTAGAGGGCGTGCAGGAGGCAGCTGATGAATGGTTCTCTCTCATCACTGATGGTTCTCTCTCTCTCTCTCTCTCTCTCTCTCTCCCTTCCTCTCTGAAATCAATAAAAAATATATTTAAACAGTCCCCTTTCTGTGTCTGCATGTGGTCTTGGACTCTTACAACAAATACCTAGAAAAAAATACTTCCTGGAATCTTGGAAATGCTAATCTTGAAATAATTGGGCTTCACTCTGACTTGGATCTAGAGATCAAGGTCAAACAGCAGTGGTGTCTTTGGCTGAGCTGCTGGAGTTGTTGGGATGCGGAAGGGAACCCAGACACCAGGTTAGGACATGAGTGCCTTGAACTTGCCGCCTTGAAAGCAAAACTCTGGTGCCGCTGCTTTTCCTCGAGATGAATTATTATCTTAAGAAAGGGAAGTGGAGGTGCCAGCCCTTGAAGAGCTGGAAGCTGGCAGGCATTGGAGGGGATGGATGCTGGAGAGGTTAGAGTTAGTTCCATCAAAGGCCATTGTGTATGTGCATTCCTCAGAGTGAGGAGCGTTCTCCTAACGGCTTCAGTGCTCCAGCCAGAGCCCCAGGATACAGCCACAAGGCCGTACTGTTGGGGACACCTGCTGTCGGGACTGGTATGGCTTCTTTCTGACCGTGGCAGGCAGGGTCTGGTGGCATTTCGGGTTTGGCACAACCTGCCGGCCTAACTGGGAAATGCTTCAGTTCGGACTGAATGTAAAATTATGCTGTGCCAGGCACTTCTCTCTCTTCGTCCTGAGCTTATTTGTATTTCAAAGACATTTATCCATGTCTCTGCTTCCGTTGAGTTAACTCATTGGAGTTGCTTGAGAGACACTGCTGCTCAGTGAGCTCCAAGTCTCTCCGTTGGCATGTTTTTCTTCTCTGCGGCCACCAGAATAGCCCAAGCTCTGAGCAAGCAAATGTGAGCCTGCACTGGCCTTTGGTCCAATAGAACCTCCACTTAACCCACAGTTGGACTCTGTGGGGCCGGAGGGATGTGGGAGAGATTCAGAGAAATGTATGGAACTGTGAGGGAAGAATCTGACCTCCTGCCTCCCTTCTGTGCACCTTCTGCCCCGATGCCCAGAAAGCCGAATGCTGTAACTCAGAGCGGGGAAGGGACGTGTGGTAGGCTGTGGCCAGGAACCGGGGAGCACTGCGGATTCCAATCTCTGAAGGAAGGCAGCAGAACGCTCCTGTGGCTCGGGGACACCTGGATGTCACATATGCTGACTTCCTCATGATGCATCTTAGGGTTGGGCCATGAGATGACTGGAGAGTACATGGAGCTGCAGGTTCCTGGGATCAAAAGGGCAGAAGACAGAGGACCCACAGGAGGCAACCCAAAGCTCATGTTCAAAACCGTCTGCACCTGCACTTGCACAATGTATTTGGGCAAAATTTAAAATACTTCGAACTTCCAGAATGAATTGCATGGGGAGAAATGTAACATCTTTGAACAGATGTGGCTAAGCATACACACCTTTATAGGGATGTGTCACCTGAGAAATCCCTAATTATAAAATGGTTCATAACTGAGAAATCTCCAGATTAGTTGTCTAGTAGTCAAGTGTCCATGAGACACAAAAAAAAAACACATTCAGAAAACTAAAACTTGTTTCCGGCATCAATTGGGAGAGAGGCCCAGGAACGCTAGAGTTCAAGTGTAGGGCAGGAAGGCCCATGGCAGGATGAAGGCCTTGACGCAACAGATTCACGCCCCTGGCTTCCCGTTCCCGAGGAGCCACCTGAGCCTGGCCACACCCTGGCTCACAGTCACCTTAGAGCGGAACTGGGAGCGAGGTGCAGTCAGTTCTGACGGGAACAGGAGCGGAGGGTCACTTACCCACATCCTCAATAAGGAAGGACTGCGTCTCCGAGTTCACCTTGATGTACTTAAGGCTTTTCAGTGACTTCCCGTAGGCAAGGTTGTAATGCTCCACGGGCCTACTGGTGGCATCTTTGGGTGGGTCCCACGTGACTTTCAGGCCCATCTTAGTGGACAGCAGTTTCACGTGTCTTGGCTTCAGTGGGTGGTCAGCTATGCAGACAGCGCAACTATCAACTGATGGGAATGGCAGGCGGGGGAAAGGCACGTTTCCACTGTTCTCTGACATTGTTAGCGAGACAGCGAGTGGCTTTTACTCTGATCCTTTAGACTGTAAGCGCGGGCGTGTTTGGACATCGTTACAGTATGACAGCAACGCAAACATACCAAACCCACAAGCTCTGAAGTGTTTTGGATGACTGTGGGTGGTAAGTTTAAACCAGAGTGAAACAAACCGAAAGAAACCCTAGGCCTTCTCCGCTTGCTGATGTTGCCTCGCTGGTGCTAGAATAACGAATTGGTCATTTGACATCTTCCCCAGAGGCGTTCATATATTCAGTGACTTCTTATCATTAATAAGTATGCGGCACGGTGCCTTACACAGCCTGTGCATCGCCTCTGAGGAGAATGACCTGGAGCGCTCCCGACCAGGAAGAATGGGCACCGTGTCTGAAACGAGGCAGCAGAAGCGCAGCTTCTGCAAACACAACAAGAGAGCTGCCACCTGAAGAGGCAGGCGTGCCCCTGGCTTTATCTGCAGGCAACGAATTTAAGTGTTTCCTGTTTTGTCACAGAAGAAAACCAAGTTATTAAGAAGGACATTACACTTTGATCTTCAGTTGTGAGGTTCTAAAAAATTTTTTTCTTAATTTTTAAAAATTAGCCAAAATGAAACACAATATGTAACTGATGTTGCAATGCCACATAACATAAATATATGCTAACAATTCACACAACAGTCCAATTTGGAGCAAACTGGGATCTGAAACTGATTATTCAAGGATGCAAGGCATTCTCAGGGGGTGGAGAGGGAGTAAAAAAAAAAAAAAAGCCAGAACCCTTTAAACTTAAGAAAAAATGAATTTGGACACCCATGGAAGAAGAAAGGGGAGGGAGAGCGTTTGGTGATGGCACACAGAGTGGTTAGTGTGTGGTTCTAATACTGGATGGAAATCCTGCACAGGGTAAGTATGGCTGATTCTATACCTATCATGTAATCTTCCCACAACTGCCCAACCACCTCTAGAGTAAAACATTTATGGAAAGGAGAGAACTCCTGTGGCCTCCCTGCCAGAGAAACTCAAGGAACAAAAAAAAAAGTTATGAAAATGATTTCAAAGCATCAGGGACAGAAAGTGCCACATTGGAGCCGAAAGCGCAATGTCGGGCTGCGGGTGCAACCCATAAGCGGTCCCTCCCCGGCCTCACGGCGAGACCCCTGCAGACCGTGATGGGAGAGGCCAGACGAGGATGCGGCTAGGGAGACTAGGCCAGCAGGGCAGTGGTTTCAGGGCTTGGAAGGTGAGCAGTCATGGCTACTCGCCATCCGCTGTCATGGACCCTTTCTGGCCCATGAGGACCTGCCGGGTTTTCTGCCAGAGAACAGGGCTTCCCCTTCCTGGGTTCCCTGTGTCTCCCCTGAGGCTTCCCTACAAACTCCACCTTCTCTGCCACCTGCCGACTAACTTTTCTAGTTGCCATCAATCCCT